CCAGCCCAATCTTTGTCGGCTGACCAAATCGAACGCTCCTCTTTTGTGCTTCGGCAATATCCTTGAACACTCCATTTACGCGAGCAGTCAGGTAGTCGACGAGGAAGCCAACGTTCGGAAAGGCCTTCAAATATGCTTGTCCCTCTTCCTGGCGTTTGAGCTGTGTATCTAGCTCATCGAGCATTGACGTTCCGTTTTCAGCTCGTTCCCAGTTCGCCGAGTAATCGTCTGTGGCTACTTCGTCCAGAAATATGGCCATGGGGCTCTCGACGAGGTAGCGCTGCACGTAGACAAGAACCTTGCTGTTCTCCATTGTAGCCTCCTTCTCTGTCAATTCTTCGCTTGCCGAGTTCGGGGCTGCAAAACGGTCAATCTGGAACCGCATCCATGTAGAGAAGGCATGGAACAGGTCCAATTCGTCCATGACATTTAGGAGAATCTTGTGTCCGACCATTGTAAGGCAAGACACAATATCCATGGCGCGGGTGATTTGAGCCACAGAGAACCCAATGTCGTCGCGCGAGTCGTAAAACTGAGCAAGCCCACGCAGGCGGCTGAGAATAATGGCACATCTTTCTAACGACGGAAGCAGGTTTTCATGGATCAAACCGCGCAGATTCTCCAGCCCCGCCGTCACGGCCTTATCCCATCGCTTGTGACCCTTGAAAAGTTGTCAGTAATGAAAATTATGGCGAGAATAGCGTCTACTTACACGCTCAGCTAAACTGTCGACCAGCCATTCTCGGAGGGGCTCATGCGCATGGCCAGTGACAACTGTATGGAAAAGAGCTTGGACAATGTTCGTCGGCCCATGTGCTATCTGTTCCAAGTCTCCTTCGACACTGCGCAAGAACTTGGACGGTAGTTCTCTTGTGTTCTTATACTCTACTTGTATGTGGAGCTGTGTCTGCTTCACGTAACGCAGCAGCTTCTGTAGCGTAGTGAGTTTTGATGCTAGGAGAGAGATATTGATGGGGGATGAGGGTATAAAGGGCAGATCCATGGGAACCAAGTACACTGCCTGGTCGTTGTCGGCTGAGGATTTCAGGAGGAGTGTGTGAGTGGAAACTTCTGGATGAGAGGCATGTTGGATGAGCTGAAGGACGCCTGGTCTGTACATGGAGCTTGGAAGCGTGTATCGGAAGTCGCCGATGACGAAGGAATCGTAGATGCTGAGATGGAGGCGCCCGTCGCTCGTGCCTACCACCATGACGAAGACTTGGTCGATATCCTCTGTGTTGAAAGGCTGGAACAGAAAGTCTATGCCAGTTCTTAATGTAAACACCAGGCCATCTTCGCTAAAGCCACAGTCAGTAACAATATCTGAAGCATGGTAGACGTCACTCACCCTGCACCGGCGCTGGAACTAGGTAGAGGACTGATCTTTGGCAACGCAGAGTCTACCTCCAAGAAGGTGAGTTCTCGGGGTAGATCCAATGGGGCCGGGCTGCCGGGCAAATTCAGCTCCTCTGACATGAGTTTTTGCCATGGCTGTGCAGGCGACTGCCGGGCATTCTTCTGCGATCTGCCCACAGTGTTGCGCGACCAACCGATGTGGGTGATGTTTGGCGCCGCTGTGTCATCTCCACAAACGCGAATGTGATGTGCAGCCTTGTTGTTCTCCAGGCCCATCAACCTCACGTACCCGTCGCTCCAGCCCACAGCAAGGAACTGACCTGTGATCAAATTAAAAAAAAAACGTTCTCTAGATAGATCGAGGGCATCTTCGTACCATCTGGTTTCCATCTTACAGCTTGGGGCTCGGGGGCCTGTTGACCGGGCTTCGCGAACTGGTGGATTTTGGACACAACGTGTTCTCTGGGGCGGTAAATCAAAAGATTTTTCCCATGTGCGTCCCAACTGACCGAGAGGTCAACGGTTGGATTACTGCATGGAAAGCCTTCGGCGACACGGTGGTCGAATTTGGTATCGCTGTAGTGCCGTAGCTGCATAGTTTCATCCATTTCGAATATACGAAGCTATCCGGATTGACAGGGGGGTGGTGAATCCTCGAAGGATCATTGCTAGTCCCGTGGGACGATTTGTTGACAGAAACTACCAGACGTTTGGTTGTTGACTTTCATGAAATCGAGCTGTGCGATCCGTAGTTCAATTAGGTATCGGCGAATCTGCTTCGCGCAGATAGCTGTTGTTGTTTGGAAAGTTCACTCACGACTTTCACAAAATTCGAAGTGAGTTGAGGTACATCAGGCAGGTAACTCCGTACCTCTCAGTCGGATGTTCGTTCTGTGGGAACCGCACCCAGCGTTGTACCTGCCACTGACAAGGATGGGCTAGCGCGCCGCGCGATACTGTCACTGCAAGACGTGGTGGATCAGCACCTCGATCGAAATGGAACACTTTCGTCACAGTGCAGCAGTAAATTCCAGGGCAAAGGTGATGTTGGTCGATAAATAACTTCTTTTACTCGGAGCTTTCGCATCCCCTGGACTCTCTAAGATACGTTTCATTTCATGCAGCCAAATATCATGGCCGTTTCCCAGCGCCACAAGTAAACCCGCTGTTTGGAAAACTCATCAGTTGGCGCCGAGCTTTTGCTACCCCTGACTATCCCGCTCCAATCTCAATCTAAAAGCAGCTGCATTCTATTCGATTAAGAAGTTGTCTGCGTGAGACTTGATCTCCTTCGAGAAGGTGACCTCCTCATCCTCTTCAATCAAAGAGACAGTGGTGACCTAGCATGTGCATTAGCTTTCTGGTACATAAACCTGCTAGAGTCGTGACTTACATCAACATCGATGAAGGGAGAGGTCTTTGAGAACCTGACTGTCATTGGGAAGAAGTCGTTCTCATCATTGGTCTCGGCCTCGAACTCGAAAGACCCGCTAGGGTTCTCATCCGAAACCGTGCCAATGTTCCACTCCAGCGAGTCGCCAGAAACCTCGTAGGAGGCATCGAAGCTCGATACCACAGGTTCACTGGCCTGGTAAGGAATGATCACGCTAACGTCCTTCAACGTGTCGCCGCCCGTCAGCTCGTACTCGACGGTCATGTTGTACTTGTCTGCATCCTTATTGATCCAAACAGTGAATGTAATGGGGCAAGCGCTGGTATCGTCTGCCTTGGCCGTTGCTCTCCAGCGCAGCACGCCGACGGACTGGTTGGTAGGGAAGCCACGAGCAGTGTTGCTCATCTGGATGGTCTTGGAGCTGTTGAAGAGGTTCTTGTCGACGTTGGGGTGCGTGCGGAACTGAGCACCGTGGGAGGCGTTGGCAGTCAGGTTCAGCTTGACCTTGGTCAAGCTTGGGTCCGAGATACGAAGGTTCAAGTCACCGCTTATCGCAAGAGAGTTCAGGGCGCCCTCTCTCGACAGCTTAGCACTAATAGCTTCGTTGACCACGATGTGAATGGCGTCCCGGTCAAGAGTAGAGGAAACACGAGACTCTGCCGCAGGCTCGGGAACGTGAGCCGGGGTTGGTGTAACAAGTGGCGTATCATCGACTTCAGCCCCCATCTCGCCTCGAACGCGCTCGAACATGTCGGTGGTCTTCGACTTCTTGCCGAGTTGCATACCCTTGCCCTTCGGGGCACTCAGCCTGTGGATGTTAGCCAGCAGCCCCCGCCACGCATATTCAAGGATCACTTACTTGTTGAAGGTCTTATTCTTCTCAGCTTCGTACGAGTCGTACGTATCCGTCGGGGTTGGGCGCGTAGGGGGAGTGTAAGTCGGGTAGTTGGGTGTTCTGGGCATTCCACCACCGACACGACCGGCTCGAGCCGACTCTTTCCGCTGCATCTCCAGCTGCTTGGCCTTCCGCTTGCGCTCCTCTGTCGCCTCCAGCTCCTTGTTCTATTATCACAATCAGTATGATGTATCCCAATATGCTGGGTATCGGCTAGACGGACTCGTGCGATGATCTCCTGGATCCGCTCTTCGTGACTCTCCATCTCGAGGAAGGTCTTGATCTGGCTGATGGTCAAGTTCTCGCGGTATCCAAGCGTCACCAGCTCATCGAAGGCGCTGAGAAGCTCGTAGGCATTCTTCAAAATCTCTCTCTCGTCGAGGCTCTTGCATGTGCTGGTCACAACCTGAGCGAACAAGTGCAAGGAATCGATGTCTTGGAGGATATTGGATTGACGGTTGGTAATGAGTACCATGTAAAGCTCGTCCAGAGGCTGATAGACGAAGCGCACATTGTCTTGTTCGACGGTCGTGTGTTGGGTACCGCTGTCGGCGAGCTTCGGGAAGGACGCGAGGAGGGCTTCAATGCGGGATCGTGGCATCTCCCTGAACTGGCGGGAGAGGACAGCTTTCCCGCCGCGGGTGCAAATCGAAGCTGCGAGGACGACCTGGAGGAGTTAGCATGTCGATACGGAAAGTGCTGCAGCCGAAAGGTTCTTCTTACCATTTTGGCAGAGTATGGTGACAGGTGTAGGACGAATTGGAGATGTAGGTGGACTGTCGCAACTCGACTTCAAGGTCCACGTCGAAGGAGGGACCACACTGGGAGCTTGAATATTGAGGTCGGAATTGTGAATCTGGCCAGTGCACGGACCACACGACCTTACGTACAGCAGCTGGCGCTACTCCATAAAGAGTAAAGCGGCAGCTGCCTCCAGAAGGCGCGTCAACCTGCGCTTACGGCACGTAGAGGGGTGGATGGGCTGCACCTGGCACCTTTTTTTTAAATTCCCACGCGCTTTGGTCAACTCCACCTCATCCGCACTGCTTGGCCTCACCTCGCCATATCCATACTCTTTGATTTACCAAAGCTCCCTTTCCTCCCTCAGTCCATACCCACGAGGACAGCCTTGAAAAAACAGCACACCGGAAGCTCAGATCTCTAGACATACGAATCACTACCGACGTGACATCCAACTGATATCTGACTATTTGACTCTCGTCAGCGTCATCGAGCGGACATCCGAATTCTCACAACCCGAACCTGCCAGACAAAGAGACAAGCGTCCCGACAGAGGCAACGGAATCTTTACCGCGAGACCAACCATTGCTCTACGACTTCCCAGTTGTAGCAGGGATGACTGCCGAAGCAGCCCCAGCCCTGGGCCTTGAGGGCCAACTCCATGAGGAGTATATTGACTACTCGGAAGACGATTCGGCAGCTCCTGCTGCCGTCGCAGAAGGCTCTCACATCACTTCATTTCCTGCCAACGCCCATTTTGTCACCGATGAAGTGGACTACACTGGAACGAGCGCATTAGGGCCGGGCCACCAGACCATCGACCAACAGGTCGATGCGGAGATTGATGTTATTTCTGTTGCCGCCGATACATCACTACAGCCAGGCGACCTAGATCCCACTGATGGGCTTGAAGTCGACGGCGTTGATTCTATTAGCGCGATAGAAGCTGAAGACTCTTACATGAACGAAGATGAATCTCTTACCTACGCCGATGTTGCCGAACCTGAATATGGATTGGTCGCGGAGAATGAGATTAGTTGGGAAGACGGTCCGGCCAACGAGGAAGACGTAACCCAGAACGAGGAAAATGAGCACGAGGACAACGAGGTCGAGAACAGTCAGGACGAAGACAACCAGGACGAAGACAACCAAGACGAGAGCCACATTTCTCTTGAGAAAGATGAATGGCAACTGGTGGCAGCGAAGGAAGGCCTCTCACAGGGCGGCATGAGCCCTGCGAACAGTGCTGGGGAAGAAGAACCGGAAGCTCACGAGGTCGATCAAGGGCTTGCGGACTCTTCAAACGACGCTAATAACTTGGATGCGAATCTTGATGTATTTGACGTGGCCGATGTTGATGCTGGCCTCGATGAACAGCAAGTTGCCGAACCCCACACCACGGAAGTCAATGACCTGCACGAGATAGACTTCAACGATGGCGGCAACGTAGCAATTATCGATGCTGTAGTGGGAACCAGCGATACGCGTTCAGAGAATCCTCCAGACTACCAAGAGACCGACGGCGATTTCCCGACGGAACAAGATGCCGAGGATCATCCCATGGGCGTAGACACGGAATCGCAGCCTGAGGATGAGATTGAGAGCATTATGGCTGTTGCCAACGCTGACCAGACCAATGTTGAGGAGACCCATGATGATGTCGTCAACGCCGAAGACTATGACGCAGTTGCTGAAGATTCGTCTGTTCGCGAGCACGTGGAATTCGATGACGAAGTTCTTGCCGACGCGCGATCGTCTGTATCGGCTGAGACGCCGATTCACGAAGAGATGGAAATCCCCGTTATCACTGTCTCGTACAAGGGCATCGACTATCCTTTCTTCTATGGGTCTCCAGACAGTCAGGGCAAAGAGTGTTTCTTCAATGATCTGACTCTATTACACTGCAAAATGGAGGGTGTATTGGCAGGCTTCCGTCGAGAGCTTGCCAATGAGTTGGGCCCTTTTGACGAACTTGTGTTCCAAATCGATGAGCTTGGCCTTGAGTTCACTGAAGTAAGTTTTCATCCGCCTGGAACACAAGCCCTGCTAACATATTCGAAGTCCAGCCAAGCAGAGGTCTTCTCGGACATCACGTTGGGCCAGATAATTTCCGTGTTCGACTCACTGGTCAAAAACCAGAATGCCGATGCATCCAAGCCCCTCTATGCGTACTTGACTACGCGGCCGAACTGCAAGAAGCGCTGGCTTTCGCTTGTCGACGATGCCTACAATGGCAAAGGACTCGATGAGATTAGCTATTATTTCGCGTCTCGCGCACAGAGCGAGGTACCCGAGATCATGGATGATGAGCCTGACCTGATAGGAGAAGAAGATAACGCCGATGCTGCCGCTTGGCCGCAATCTCCCGCCGAAAGCGGACATGGTGAGCACAAATTGCATGAGGCTGAAAGCGAAAATGAGGAGATCAACGAAGACGACGATGTTGGCGATGGCATCACCGGAGATGACGATGCCCAGTCGCAGAACGGGATTGAGGAGAGTTCCTTGCAGCCAGACGAGAGCGCTATATCGATGCCAGACGCTGAGACTGCCATTGTTGATGCCGAAGTTTCTCTGATGGACAAATCCACCGCAGTTGCAGACCCGAGCGTTGTTGAAGACGGCGGCGACGAGGAAGATGCAATGGAGGATCAGCAGCCCCAAGAGAATGGGGAGGCAGGTAATGACGACCTTTCTCAAGTCACTCTATGCTTCTTCCCTAATTTCTGTCTCTGCGCCACTTGTACTTCGACGTTTGTCGCAGATCAGATGGCGGAGGAAGACGATTTTCGATTCGAGTCTTTGGTGCGAGTGGCCAAGGAGTCTGCTCGACAGCGAGGGCGCTCTCCCTCTAGTAATTCGCATTTGGCACTTCCCGAAAGACTCCTTTCGCGAAGATCGTCCCGCCACTCGCATTCTTATTCAGATTCCAGCATTACGTTTCCTTCGACTGCAGACGCTGACGCTAGAACCCAAGCTTCAGAGATCGATGAACCCGACCCACTCGCCTCGGAAACGCAACACGCAGCTGTTCTCAGCACTGCTATTGACGCACAGAACATATTTGACGACGAAGACGCAGCAATCATCGCAGATCAGGTCGTCGAAAACGCCAATGAGAATTTCGCAGAAAAGGTAACCCCTGATACCAGTGCCACGTCTACCTTGAACGGCGACGAAGAGGTCACCTACGAGAACGAGCTTGATCTTAACGCCGACCTACATGAAACGGAGGATGTTGAAGCCGAGGTTGTCGTCGAAGATGATGGGCTAGCGGAGATTGACTGGAGAGAATTCTCCGGGCAAGGGGATGACGAGATTGCCGTAGAGTCCCCTTCAGCCTCTGGCAAACGCCAGAGGTCGGATGTGGACGACCTGCTGGATGCTGAAGCTCAACAAGGTACGATCAAGAGGTTCAAAAGACTCTGAACATAATGAGCTAACTTTGTGCTAGACGTCAAGCGTCGTCGCCCATGAGCTTTGGGCAACATCCCAACTAACCCCCTTCTGGTGTGTCACTCAACGCGACCGGATCTAGGTCCACGGGGCTTCCCCTTCTCGACGTAGACCAGTCCGGTGACTAGGCCACAACACAGCCCGATTTCATGATCACCGACATTTCGAAAACATGGATGATACACCCGGCAAGTAGGGGTATCGCAATCGGAGCGACCACATAGCCCTCGAGGTAGGTTTCCAAAATTGTTATTCCCACTAACCCACAGCTTTCCCAATTTCCAACCATCCCCAGGCGGTGACCTGGCAATTCCATGAACGCCATACCCTTAATGCCGTCCTTCCCTGGAGCTTTTCGATACCCCCTCTGTTCTCTTGCGATATTGGTGGATTCTGGCGTAAAATGCGGCTCAAAAGCAATGCGATTATCTTCGTGGTTATGGTCGATCTTTCTTGTACAATAAGACGTCTCAAGGATTTGAAGGGTGGTCATGGATTTGGTCACCAAGAACGGCCTGCTCAGCAAAGTGAAGTGTATGTCTGCCTTTTTGAGAAAGAGTTGGACGGGATCAACATCTGCATCCGTCGGGATATCTACTTGATGATCAGTCGCTTTTGGACTCTGGCTTGAAGGAAGATATTTCAGGGCATCGAGCTGAGGCGTTGATTTTCTCGAAAGGAGCAACCGGCATAGTCATACCTGAGTTATCTGACGAAGAACACGCATATTTTACTTGACTTAAATGATGGGCTCTGCGTGTAATATTCTAAACAAGCGGCTACATTCGCGCATAAACTTCGTTTTCCTCAAATGTCATCACAGTTCTTGTCTGGCCGTTGATGATCCAAGCCAATACTGAAAAGGCTGTTTTGCGCAAGCGCTTCTTTCTCGTCTCATAGTGCGCCTCTATGGTTTCTCGAGGCTTTTTGAGACTCCCTAGTAGACGTCCAAGAGCCATGACAGCATGAAGACTGGCACGGGGATATAAACAGTCGGCCCCCCACACCCCTTGCAAGGACAGAGCTCCAGCGGTTCCTGCAGGTAATTAAGAGCTAGCAATCACTGGTGAGGGAAAGCATGTCACGGTTTGGGGTGATTTAGCTGGTAAGATTAAGGTCTGTCAGTGATGGAAGGTTTTCTGGCCTTGTTGGAACTTTGTGTATGGTAGTACGGGCACAAACACAGAGTCACACACGCTAATGACTATCCGACCTTGGACTGACTACCTATATTAAAAACGCCGAAGACGTGTCGATCAGGTACGGAGAGTGATAGAGTTTCCCTTACGTAGCTTGCTGCCGTTGGAAACTTGGACGGCCACACCCTGAACGGTAGAAGACGTGGGAATCCCCGCATTTGTTCTTTCTGGTTTTTTTTTTTTTTTTTTTTTTTTTTTTTTTTTTTTTTGTTGCGACAAACGCTCGTTCTTCTTCTTCTGTCCCGCTTCTCCAATTCTTACTTAAGAGGACACATAATGGCAGACTTACGGGTAGGTCGCCTCCGTAACCGAACTTTTTGTGTGGTGTGCTTCGTTTCGACGACCGTTCGCGCTCAATGCGCTATCTCTACCATGGGTGCCGCATTGCTTGAGCCCCCCCCCCCCCTTCTCTACTCCACCTGTCTTAATGGGCAGCGGCGGAAGAAACGAGCTGTCAATTGACGGACAGGCTCCTCTTGTTGTATTGTTTCTAACGGCTCGGATGGGGGATCCGGGGGGCTACTAGGACGATGAGGGGACCAGCCAGAGATATTGGCAGGGGGAGCGGACGGTCTTCAATTTTTGAATTAAGTGAATGACACTACGGTTACTTTGCCGTTTTTGTCACTTGTGTTGAGCTCAGTTCGTGTTACTTGGGGCCGACGGTCTCACATGAAAAGAAAAGGCGTTGGTCGCGAGTTACGGCATGGTATTGCGCCTTTCATTCCTGTTGTCGTGGGCACTCTTACCTAAGATATGGTAAGGGAAATCCAGGGTTTGACACGACGAAAGGGCTTGGAAGGGCTTGGGATGTATGGAGGGGGAAGGGGGGCAGACGGGCATAGTCTCCAGTCATCTGCTTCATGGCCGACTGATGAGTGATACCTGAGTCTCTTTATCCAACAGTCTTTTCGTGCGGATAAGAAGAGACAGATGCAGAGAAACGGCGGACCGTCCGCCGGCTTCGGGCCCTATCGGCAAAGCGGACTCGAGATATTCCCGTCCGCTGGGTGACAGACTGGCAAGACGGGCAGTGACACTGACGAGTGACGACGACGGCCACCGCAGTAAGGATGCGCGGTAAGGATGGCCAAAGAGTGAGATGGTGGCTGTGGCTGTTGGTTTAATTAACGAGGGCCAGTTTTGGGTGGTCGTGTCGAGACTTGTAGGTGCCAGTGTGGGTTCGGAGGGGGAACTGGGAGAGGGCGGACGGTGGTGTCCAGGGGAGGGGGGAGGCAGCAGTCACCACCTGCAGTCACAGTGTCATTCGTAATGAACCTGTTTCAATGGGACCCCACATGGGTTGTGAGAGAAAAATAGAAATGCCGATTTCTCTCGTGGATCGGATCTTCGTATGGAGATTTGCAGGGGGGAGGGGAAGCACTGACTTGTTCTGTACGGATAGTGTCGACTGATGACCGAGAGGACCAAGCCTCCCGCCATTTTTCGTACAGGCCATGCTGTTCACATGGGAGAAGGATAATATTCCTCTGCTGTGTACCCGTACATAACACTGAAGACTTTTATGCCATCGGGTGTTCATTGAAGGTTGAGTGAGAGCCTCCCGTAGGCTGTACTCTGCTGACTGCTGTCCGTTTCGTTCAGGGGTTCGTGGGCTCAGCGTGGATCGAGGACGAGACTAACCAAGGAACCGCCCCTCAAGACTGACACTCCAGGAGGAGAAGGCCTGGAGACTTGGGGAGACTTTGGGGAGTCTGCTGCCAACCATGGCCCCCCTGCGGACAGAGGTGGTGTCCTCCTTTGGCGCCCTTAACACCCCTGTCGGAGTTGAGTCGAGTTGCGTTAGCACAGGGACCATTTTCCAGTTATGACTTGTGAGTCCCTGCTTGCTGCCTCTGTGATGACCTAAGTGATGATAGGAGTTAGTATGCTAAGTGTGAAGACATTGTGAGATGCTTCGATAGTCAGCAGAGCGGACAGACGGTGAGATATGTTGAATGCATGGGCAGATGAAGGAGAGGAATAAGAGAGTTTGAACACATGAGAAGAAACGGTACGGACGAAGAAGCAACGAAGTCTTGGCGTCCCTGTCAGGAAATCGCCTTCCGTCCAAAATCGCATGCGAAGCCTGTTCCATCCTCTCTGGATTCCGTCCGACATCCGTCCAAGGCTTCTGGTTCGCGCTGGTGTGCCCAAGGTGTATAAGATTCAAGTATTGGCCACTGCCCATAACTCGCTGCATATTGTATCAGTCCAAGGCATGTTTGTACAACATGATGGTCTGTTTAATAAGAATTTGACCAAACCAAGTCGGGCCAAACCCACCAGGCTGAGCATTTGGTGATGACAGAAAAATTCGATGCTGCCCCCCCGGGCCTCGAAGGCGTGCCCACTGCAAGGTCCAAAATGGACAGCTTGGCCTGGCCCTTTCCTCTACGAAGTAGGGGCAGTAGCCCCCCATCCGGTCGGCCTCAGCCCCTCGACCCTCTCTCCCGTCCGGTCGACGCGCAGGTACCTGTTCAGTCAGGTATCCGTAGCCAAGGTACCTTGGTCCACCCCACCTGCACTCAACAAGTCTGGCGTCCGCGGCCAAGTTCGTTCCCGTCCTTTCGCGCAGGCCCGTCTGGTATTTTTAGGTACAAAATCACCTTTTGGGTCTGTATTTCCACAGGTACCTCTCAATGGTAGCGCTAGGTAGTTATTCGCCTAGTTACTATTTGAGCACCACGACGACCCCAGCTGAATAGCACGAGGAAAAAGAAGAAGAGAAAGTGCGCTATCGTGAAGAACGCGTACGCTCTAATCTGCCAGACCAGGTTTGCACAGGAGTGCGATACCCGGGTTACCTGCCAGGTAATGGACAAAAGTGATTGGGAGCATAGCAATACCAAACACCTCAGTCTGTATGGATCAGATACCTAGGTGACCTGACCTGCTTCACATCTCGCTGCAGGGCACCTCTTCAACCCTTCCCAGGGGCCTCTGAAACTCAAACCTGTCCCTATCTGGCTGGTTGGCATTCCTCGACACGCACCTACCCACCGGGAAGTCAGACAAGACCACCTTTTTCCTGCACCTCTGTCTTTCCAGATTCCCACCACTTGCTTGCCTTACCTAAGAAAAGGTACCTATCTACACACTCTTGACACCAAGATACGGAGTACTGGACGGATACCTGACGTACCTCACTTATCGACCGACGCAGCAAAAGATACCTTGCCCTTCCGTTACCGCCAATACCTTGCTTGCCTCTGCATCGCCTCGCCTTACGGTATTGCCGCACCTCGAGAACCCTCGAAAGGTACCTGTCACGCTACGTACCGCTCTCACAGTTTTATCTGCAAAATCCCACGAAACACTCTCCCTCCCCTTTCGGCTTTCCATTTGCGCCAACCAACCATCCCCGACCCCGACACACCTCTCATTGACACCAAGACCACGACGACTCCCTCGACTCGCTTCGAATCCCCTCCACTCGAACCCGACGACGAACGGCCACGATCCATCACGAGCGCCCATCTCCTCACTCTCTGCTCAACTGCGACTCCCCAACTACCTAGAGTCCCCCGGGTCCCAGATTCCATGTGTCGCTGCTGACGAGGTTCGACCTACCACTCCAAATCTCTCTAACTCGCCCGGCGCGAGCCTCGCAAGCTTCCCTTCACGGGACACGACACTCTCTACAGCGACCGCACTTGCCTCGGCGCACACCTCTAATTACCACCGACGCTCTTTTCGCTGTCCGTCGCAGTCGACGCGCTCATTTTTTTTTGGCAAGATGATGTTGGACGAGAAGTACGTTTGCGACTTGGTCGGCCTTTTGGTCGCCCTCCAGGCCCTGCCCATACGTCCACCTGGCCTCGGAACCCGAAATCGCTGACAGACCACCCGCGCAGATACATTGGCCTAGGCCTCGCCATGGCATCCAGTTTAGCCATTGGTATGCATTACTCTTCCATGGTTTCTCGTAGGCTACATCGCTGACAATGATCGCCTCACAGGTATTAGTTTCGTGGTTACGAAAAAGGTACGCGCGGTTCCCGATCGCCAGCGTAGCCCTTGGCACTACTTACAACTGGCTTTACAACGAACGGGAGCTAATCCTCAACTTTAGGGTCTCATGCAAGCAGAAGAACGTCACGGTTTCGAGGGTGACGGATTCGTATACCTCAAGAGCCCGGTTTGGTGGGCTGGTATCTCAACTTGTGAGTCTGCATTAGGACCTCGACCCTCGACGAAAGGCGACGAAACGGCTAACACTTGCGTAGTGGTCGTTGGAGAAATCTGCAATTTTGCTGCCTATGCATTCGCGCCAGCCATTCTCGTTACACCTCTTGGAGCTCTCTCTGTCCTGATCGGTGCTGTTCTGGGTTCATACTTCCTGAAGGAAGAGCTTGGAGTTCTGGGTCGCCTGGGCAGTGCAATCTGTCTAATCGGCGCCGTCATCATTGTGCTGCATGCGCCTCCAGATGAAGATATCCAGACTGTTGACCAGATCCTGCACTACGCTATTCAGCCGGGTATGTCGACAATTCTGCATAACAATGCGACTGAGAACTAATCTCTTTGTCAGGCTTTTTGTTATACGCCTTCACTGTTACCATCTTCGCAGTCGTCATGATTTACAGAGTCGCGCCGCTCCACGGAAAGAAGAACCCGATCATTTACCTCTCCATTTGCTCAACGGTTGGATCAGTCTCGGTCATGTCTGTCAAGGCCTTTGGAATCGCCCTCAAGCTCACCTTCGCCGGAAACAATCAGTTCAGCCACCCTTCGACTTACGTTTTCATGATCCTCACCACCGTTTGTATTCTGACGCAGATGAACTACTTCAACAAGGCTCTTGCTCAGTTCCCCACCAACATGTAAGTCAAAGAACGCCGAGCCTGTGATTGCCAAATGGCGCTAATTGGTGACCATGTAGTGTCAACCCTCTCTACTACGTAACCTTCACGACAATGACCCTATGCGCCTCCTTCATCCTTTTCGGCGGTTTCAACACTACCGACACGGTCAACACGATATCCCTTCTCTGCGGTTTCCTGGTTACCTTCACCGGCGTCTACCTATTGAACCTGTCGAGATCGGACCCGAACGGACACAAGTATGTTGCAGGCCGCGGCGGCGACGATGCCACCGGCACGGATATGATCTCTACAATTCAGACTCGTTTGAGTATGCAGGCACGCCGGAGTGGAGATCCCCACCGGATGAGCATTGGCAGCCGTCACGGCGATACAACGGGGTTGATGAGGGCCTACGATGAGGAGGCTGGTGCCGAATTCGGGCTCACCGATCTAGCCGACGAGAGCGACGACGAGAATGACCGCCACAGAGCCAACGGGTCCGCCAACGGCCACTCGAAAACATACAATGAGACAATTGAGCTTCAGAACCAGAGGTCCGACAGATGAGGGACCTGGAGGATTAAACCGTCTGTTTTCTAGCTGTCGGCTAACGCCGAGGCGGTGATTGTCTTTTTTCTTCGAAGCATTTCTTACCAGGGGCCCGAATGGGGGCAGCATTGTACATTTTCGCGAAAGTCAAATGACTGAGAAGTTTTCCACGACATGATCGGATTCATGAAAGAGGCAAAGACCCACGGAACAAGGCGCGCGCCCTGAGTGAGGGAGGGGAAAGCATCAAAGGGAAAACCCAGAATCGAGCTTTTTCCTACACTATTTCACTTCTGCCACGGCACGAGGAGTATTCACTGGGCAATGGGAGGGATCACTACTTGGGGGCGTTTATCGGGGTTTCCAATGGATACTGGGTGCGCGGAAAGCACCTCTTGTTGTACGATTAAGGGCAAGGCGAATGGGAGAGAGGTGTATGTGGGCGAGAGGGAGAGGGAGAGGGAGAGGCACACCCTGGTTCGCCTGGAGACTGGCATCTTCTGTTCACTGTCCAAAGCATTTCAAACCATAGACGTAGGCTGAGGCCTAGAGCCTCGCGAATTGAGCATCATGGACCGACCACAATTCGCTATCATGTAGCAACATAGTGTTCGAATTGGCGAGGAGAAGCAGTTTGCAGTCCTGCGGTAGACAATGTGTACAGATGACAGTGAGGTGGCTCCTCGCTTAGATGGCAGGACCTCTGCTCGAGGCCCGTGGATTATACATGGCGTCACGTATTGGGCATGCGGTTTACTTTTTTAATGATTTCGTTGCTCATTTCATGGTTTGTTCTACCATTACAAGCCAGTCGCAACTATCCGAATTCCCTTTCGCAGAGTAATGCAAATGTTGATCAAGACGCCTGAGTAGTTATTCCACCCCCGTCCTCCCTTTTTTGCTGGTCTTTTCGCGCGAAACACCCCGTTTTTTGTATTCCCCTAGTCTGGTATTGGAAGAAAACTAGAGTGAACTAGAAGACAGAAGCGTGCGACAAAAAAAGAAGCAGACTCGAAAAATCCCCCCTTCACGCTGAACAGTTTTCCAGTCCCCTTTTGTGTTTACCAACCGGCGGGGCTGGAAGAGTCAGCCTGCTCGAAAGAAACCTGCAGCTCGCCAGTCTCCTACGACTGAGCCTCGGCCTCCTCGCCAGCCTCGGGCTGCTGCTCCGCTTGTTGCGCCTCAGCGGCGGCCTGGGCCTGGGCGGCCTTAGCGCCGTAGTCCTGGGACATGGGCTGGACGACGGACTGCTCCTCCTTGGGCTCGAGGATGGAGACGGCGTCGGGGAGAGTCTTCTGGGGGCCGGCCTTGCCCTCGGGGTCGGAGCCGCGCATGATCTTGACCTTGATGCCGAGAACACCCTGGCGGAGGAGGACGTGGCGGGTGGCGTGGTCGATGAAGTCCTTGGCGGGCTGACCAGAGTGGATCATGAAGCCGTCGGTGAACTTCATGGACTTGGCGCGAGCAGCACGGAGCTTGCCGGAGACGACGACCTCGCAACCCTTGGCGCCGGACTCCATGATGAAGCGGAGGACACCGTAGCAGGCGCGACGGACGGCGAGACCGTTGAGGAGCTTGTAGCGGAGGGACTCGCACTGGGCGACGGCGGAGAGACCGCGGTTCTGGACCTTGGCGGCGTAGAGGGAGACGGAGTTCTCGGGGAACTTGAAGCGCTTCTGGATGAGCGAGGTGAGCTCGCGGATGCGGCGGCCCTGCTCGCCGAGAACCTCCTGGGTGTGGGTGGCGCGGATGATGATGTCGGTTACCGTGGGGGTGACGCGGACCTCGACGCCGGAATAGCCCTCCTCGGCCAGCTCGCGCTGGAAGAACTCGTTGAGCTCAGCGTAGAAGACGCCATCGGCGACGAACTTTCTGCGCTTGGAGCTATATGGGGGAAAAAAGACGAATCATCAGCAAAGACTGTTCCTCCAAATGTTCATTTGTTTTCCTCGCAACATTCCCATCCCGCAGAGCATTTCCATCCATCGGGGGGAATTCGAAATTGGCGAAATTTAGGCGATAGGCGGGAAGGAGGGATCTCGAGGAAATGTTGCAGAGGTAAAGCCACCATTGGAAACAGAGGAAGGACAATTCTTACATCTGAGTGCCTGGAACAGCCATCTTGACTTTCGTGTGCCCGGGTTTGTCGAGAGGGGGGGGATAGTTGGACGAATTGTTGGAGTGTCGACGGTTTCGTTCGGCGGAGGGGCGGAAGGTTGAGAAGTGAGGTTGTTCGAGTAGTCCACACTTGCCCAATCGTCAGTGCCCCGGATCGATTTTGCGCTGCAAAAATTGAGCAAATTCTGTGTGCCCTAGAGAGGCGGGCGATAAGGGGAAACCTTTGGCCTTTTGTGGTCTGTGCTCTACTCTTATCGAGACGCGCCATTCGGACCCCACTTGCCAGCTGTGATGGCCTGCCAGGCGTAAAGTGCATTTTCCTCCCGTCTGCCCAGGTGGTCAGCAAAATCGATACGTACCCCATTCGAGTGCTTTGCACGTGCTGGCTGGCTGATCATCGGGCCATCGGGAGAGAGAGCTCCGTCGGCCGGTAGTGGGGTTTCAAGGGGCCAGCTTCGGCCTGGTGGGGACCAGAGTCGCGGGAATTTGGAGGTCCCCTGTTAGGTTGCAGGCTTGCAGCGTGCTGGCCACGACGGTGACGGTCACAGGGGAGCTGAGAGCGTCAGGTGGGTGACATTTGATGCTTGGGATCCAGACCAAAGTGCGATACATTCCCATACACAAAACTTTGCTACCTTGCCTCTTCGTGATAAATTCAGCAGATAGACCTTATATAACAATCATCAGATAGTATCTAGTAGGTAGTCCATGATCATCTAAGAGTTTAACTTCTTGAAAGCGTATTCAAGTTCCTTTGGGGAAAGAAAAGGCTACATCACCCAATTTTTCCTGTCTGCAAGAGGGCACTCAAGCACTGACTCTGAAAGCCGTGACGTCGGCTCTCTGTTCTCAGCCCCGCGCTAAGCTAAGGGACCAGGTAGATGGTGTGGATCAGCCGTTCCTTCTCTTCCTGCTGCTCCTGCTCTTTGCGACTGCGCAGCAGCAAAATCAACCCCAGACAGCCGACCTCTGACCTGACAACCGCAACCGTCCCTCCCCACGTTACCTGACCTTGCCTCCAAACCTTACCCAGCCCAACCCTCCGACCTCCAACATCGTGTGGTTGCATTGATTTTCTTTGGTCTCTTCTTTTTCCTATTCAACTTTTCTACCTTTACGGAAGTTGCGCAGCTTTTCTGCTGCTCTTCTTCCAGTGAACTTATTCACCTACAAACACTTACGTCCCGGACCTTCCGCATTTGCGCGCGGCCATGCTCTAGTAGCTCAAAGAAGCATCATCTTCCACACTGCACTTCATCATGGAGGCTAGGAAGGTAAGCCATGCGCCTTCTTTTACAGACTGAATTCTCTCACGCGATATGGCATGAAAGGGGAAGGCTGATCATGCTGTGATTGCAAAAATACAGGTAGTCGAAAACGTCCAGTGCATCAACGGAGGACTCACCTCGGTTGGCACCTTGCGCTTGACCGATTTCCACCTTGTCTTCTGCGCGCCACCACCTCCTCTCAAGAATCAAACCGCCGATCAAGCCGATAAACCTCCCCCGAAACCTCGAGAATCATGGATCACCTATCCTATTCTATCGCAGTGCATACTCCGACTCCTGCCTCCAACCCATGGCATCCACAGCTCTATCCGCATCCGCTGTCGTGACTTCATCTTTGTCACGTTCAACTTTGAGGACAATAACGTCGCTCGGGACGTCTTTGAGTTTGTGAAGCTCAGAACTTGCAAGCTGGGCACCATCGAGAGGCTCTTTGCTTTCAGCCACAAGCCCTCCAAGGCCGAGCGACAGATCAATGGCTGGAGCATCTACGACCCCAAAGCCGAGTTCCGGCGCCAGGGCATTAGCGAGAAGTCGTCGGACAAGGGATGGAGAATCACCAATATCAACAAGGACTTTACTTTCTGCGACACTTATCCCGCCGTTCTGGTGGTCCCCTCTTGCATCTCAGACAACGTTTTGAAATATGCCAAGGAGTATCGTTCTAGACACAGAATTCCGGCCCTGAGTTACATTCACGCAGACAATAACTGTACTATCACCCGCAGCTCGCAGCCTCTCTCAGGCATTACCAGGAAGAACAATGTGCAAGACGAGAAGCTCGTATTGGCTTCATTTGCACCCATCATGCCCCGAAGCAGCATTGACCAAGACCAGCCTCCTCGCCTGAGCCAGTCAGATATCTCTGAAAAGTCGTCCACAGATGGAGAGCTCTCTGAGCAGATTGTCGCAGACGATGAGCCCAAGATGTTTGATGAAAACGGCAAACGCCTCATCTATGGTGCCCAACAAGCCAACATGATTGTCGACGCCAGACCTACTGTGAATGCTATGGTCAATCAGATTGGAGGAATGGGGTCAGAGCCCATGGACCGCTACCCAGGTGCCAAGAAAGCCTTCATGAACATCGAGAACATCCATGTGATGAGAAAGTCGTTGGAGAGCGTTATGCTTTGTCTCAAGGATGCCGACCTGTCTCCTCTATCTCCCGACCAGAACGCCCTGGCTGCAACCAACTGGCTGAAACACACGCAAGCTGTTTTGAATGGAGCTGATATCGTCGCCAAGCAAGTATGGCTGAAGCAATCACACGTCCTCATTCACTGCTCCGATGGCTGGGACCGAACCAGTCAGCTTAGTGCTCTTGCACAGATCATGTTGGACCCTTTCTTCCGAACTATCGAAGGGTTCATTGTCCTTGTCGAGAAGGACTGGCTTGCCTTTGGCCATATGTTTAGGCTTCGATGTGGCCACCTGAACCACGAGGACAACTTCAAGGTCCAGAACGACTCGATGGCAGGCTCAACCATTCAGCCTGGAGAGAATGACGGCCGCGCAGATGCCTTCCAGAACGTCTTCACTGGTGCCAGGCAGCTGTTCAATCCCAGCAAGGAGGACAAGGCTGAACTCGATGCCATTACCGAAGGCTCTACCGGAAAAGTCGCGAAAGACGAGGCTACTGTTCCTAAGATGGTCAGCCCTGTGTTCCACCAATTTGTGGACTGCGTCTATCAGCTTCTCCGCCAGAACCCAGCCAAATTTGAGTTCAACGAGAGATTCCTTCGTCGACTAATCTATCATCTCTACTCCTGTCAATATGGTACCTTCCTCTACAACTCCGAGAAGCAAAGACACGAGGCTCGAGCCTCTGAGCGCACTTCTTCGGTCTGGGACTACTTCTTGTCCCGCAAGCCAGAGTTCACCAACAAGGACTATGATCCGACCTTCGATGAGTATGTTAAGGGCCGCAGCCGCATCATAGTGCCTGATATGAGCAACATCCGCTGGTGGCACCAACTCTTCAATCGGACCGACGAGGAGATGAACTCGCATCTCAACGCTGTGGCGACCGCTGCAGCCAACAGAGCCACGGCCATGAACGAGTTGCACCCAACTACGGAGGATTCTTACGCAAATAGCCAGCCTGGTACCCCGCCCCAATCCACCGCAAGTCCCAAGCCGCCATCTCTCCCTACCAGCCAGTCGGTTCTGGGAGGTGTAGAGAACACGCACACTACGTTGACGCCAAATTATCAAGAGCGACAGGCCCCCGTTCTGCGTCGGAGTGTGTCGGCAGAAAATTCCAATGCCTTCAGCGCAGTGAGGGATGGAATCGCTGGCTTGAACATCGGCAAAAACGTCAGCGGAATGCTGAACAATCTGGCCGGACGTAACGCCAGTCCTGCTTCCACTTCGAGGGTTACAAGTCGCAGCGAGCAAGAGCTCCGGGAGATGACATAGGGCGTCATGTCCGAACGAATGCACGAAGCACCTTACACCGTCGAGGTGACTAGTGCTACAATGAAACTCGACGCCGAGCTCTTCTACCAGGAGAATTGGGCTGACTCAACTTATACGTTGAGCAACTGGGGCGATTCAACAATCTGGGAATGGGGTACCAAAGCCGTCGCCAACGTCGCCAATTTAAGCACAGACTGGTCAAACTTGACCGATGGTTTAGCCGAGGACACCCCTCATGGAGATGCCTGTGCTGACAATATCGCCCGCGATGATGATGGCGTCTGTGTCACTGGAGATGCGTCAACCGACATTTGCGCTGGTTTCGACACGTTCTCGGTTCATTCTCTCGATCGTGTCTCGACGGAGGATATCGCCGATGTTGGTAACTTCATTTTGGTGAACTCGAGCACGGAGGACCTATCTGCCGAGAACGGCGGATCTGTAACTCCTTGCCACCAGCCGCACAAGACTTTCTAGTTCGACATTTCAGGAGTTTAGCATGGACTCGCTGCATTTTCACCGCGCGACTACGAAGGGCACGAAAGAAATGGGGTCTCTCAGCAAATGCAATTCGTACACGTTTGCTTCGGAGGGGTCGAACTGATTTACGGCTTTTCATGACAGCGAGCCGGAGTTTTGTACAATTATTACGACTTTTTTCTTCTTTTTTGACGCATTCGCCCCTTTTGCTCTTGACCTTCGTCATGCTGGATACACAGCAATTCTTTTCCCCCGAGCTCTGTTTTCCGGCGTCCAAGAGGTATGGTTTGAAGACAAACTTTTTGCGTCCAAGCAAGACTGGTAAAGGGAGGGTTCAAAACGGGATAAGGGGATGAAATGGGTTCGTTCATACGGCAGCCACGCGGTTTGGAGGGGCATGGGGCAAGAGAAAAGTTTGCGTGAATGGAAGCACGCACAGGGAGACAAGAGAGCAAAACAGAAAACGAGAGACGAGAGATGGGAGAGAGATGGAGAGGCTTGGGGGTCCGTCATATAGATCCACTTGGATTTTCAAACTCCTGTGTACTCTCGATTCCATAATTCTAATCAGTCTGAAGTTAACCTTCGTTCCCGTAATGATGTACGCAATGACAAGCAATGGCCGCCAGACGCGTATGGCATATCAAGCTTTCATGGCTTATAAGAAGCCTACCCTGAGCACTCAGTAAACAGGTCACGATGGGTTCCTCATCTTGTTTGATCTTTTTTTTGTTATTCTTGGGTGCCCGTTGCCTCATCTAGCTCGCCTAGTGTAAAGAAAAAAGTCTATATCCGACCGCCTTACGTCTAGCAAAGCCTTTTTTACGTTTTTGAAAAAGTATCCGTAGCCATTCATCATGCCCATATCCCATCATGCTTCATCACTACAAGAAGACCTCGAGGTTGATCTCGAGGGTGCTCACAGGGTATCTGTCGTCAACGTTAGCATCCAATGGTGATTTATCGTGATTGAAGAGGGAAGAGGGGGAGGGCTGTTCGGTATTACCTCAAGTCAAACTTCTCCAACACAGTAGGGTGCAAGATGCCGAACTCGCCGATGCGCGCCTCCTTGCCGCCCAGGCGCAGGTAGATGGCAGCCGCGTGGCCAGCGAAGAAGGTGGCCTCATCAATCTCCTCGATCCAGTAGCCGTCAGGCTTGCTGGGGTTCTCGACGACCTTGAAATCGACGCTCTTGCCTGCCTTCAGTCCCTCGTCATGAGTGAGGAAAGCTGTACGGAGCATCAAGAGAACGCGGTCCAGAAGACCGTGAACAACCTCGAAACCACTGGTCTTACCGTACCAGGCAGCAGCGAAGTGGCGCTCGTTGCGAGCTTTACGCTCCAGAGACTCGTCCTTGAAGACGACGTCCGCTGACTCGAAGATCTTAATGGGGACGCTGTGTTTCTTGTTCTCGCGGATGGTCTTGAGAAGACCAGGAACCAGGGATGTCCGCACAACCTGGTACTCGGCGGTCTTGGGGTTGGCAAGCTTGACAGCAGTCTTGCCGTCATCCTTGCGGTTCAGCCAGCCGAAGTTCTCATCGTGGCTGCACAGAATCAAGGGCATAACCTCGCTCCAGCCAGACATGGCGGCCTCTGTCCGCACGATATCAGCGAGCTTGTTGATCATGAGAGGCGCTCCGATGGTAGCGCTCTTATTGGGGGAAGATCTGGGAAGGTTGTTGTAGCCGTAGCAGATAGCCAGGTCCTCCATGACGTCGCATTGGTGGAGCACATCAGCACGGGTGACGGGAATTGACACGCTGAGAAGGTTGCTGTCCTTGTCGGAGGGCTTGGCGATGTACGCCATCTTGTTGAGGAGCTGGCACATCTTCTCGGGTGTCTCGCTAAGGCCTGTGCAGGCGTTGAGGTAGTCGATCTCGACATCGATGGTGCGGGGGGCGAGGGTTGGTGTCGTTCTTGATGCGCCGTTGTGCTCGGAAACGATCTTGACGGGTTCAACGGTGAAGGGCTCGGAGCAGTACTGTGAGAACATTGTGACCATCATGTCGCAGACAATATCGAGCTTAGTGGCGTCCGTCGCTGTCATCTCGATGAAGACGTTCTTGGTGTTGACGGTGATCTTGGAGTGGTCGCCGTTGATAATGGGCGGCAGCGAGCAGACAGTCCTGTTCTTGTCGTAGATGACGGGGTAGACGGGGGAATCCTTGATGATGTGCAGGTACCTGCCGAGATGCTTGTCGCTCTCGTAGAACTGCATCAGCTCCTCGCCGTTCATCTCCTTGGTCTGGTTCAGGGGCTTGAACTTGATGTCCTTGGCGGGCAGGGCCTCATATGTGAAGGGGCCTTCTATCGTGTCGAGGTCGTGGGTTCCAATGGCCACCAATGTTCTTTGTCTCGCTAAGTTCATGTGCAGCTTGTCCTGGAGGCCGATGAAGGAGTCGTAACTCTCCTGGGTGAACTTGATATTTCTGAGAATGGCACCAGCAACGAGGGGTCGGATCTTGCTGGTGTCCTGGGCGACGGTAATGACGGAGGCTTCGGGGTTCTTGGGTTCTACGACCTTGTAGTTGGGTGCGGCAACCTTCTCTCTGAAGATGTTGAGCATGAGCGCGATACCCTCGAAGCACAGCATGTCGTATCGGTTGGCGGGGATCTCGATCTTCAGCTGGGGCGGCTCCTGCACGCCATTGACAATCGGTCGGTCGTCGTTCTCGGTGTCCTCGTCGAGCTCGATGCCGAATTCGAAGCATAGGTCTTCGAACTCTTGAGTGGTGAAGCTGTGCGGCTAACGATCAGCAAAAGGCAGTCTGGGGATGGCGGGGTCAAGATGTCCAGATCGGGGTGGACGATGCCAGCACGGCGCAACTCACTTTTGGCCTAGGGCCTTGTACAAATCGTACTTGTTGACGGATATGGTAGGCATTGTGAGGATTGACGAGAGTCTCTCGAGGTTGCAGAGGTCTGGCTGGCGTCAGGGGCAAGAGAGGCTTCAAGCAATGATCAATTTCCGTCTCCAATATGGCCTTGAGTCACAGAAATTTTGGGGATACACGGAGGTGAAGCAACTGACTGCATGCACGCATGGAAGGTTCGCCGGGGCGGGATGAAGTTGCTGCTTTAAGCTGAAGGTAAGAGTCATTTCGGCTTTATCGCACCCGTTGGAGGGGCTGCGGGGTTGAGGGACAGCAAAAGCAGCGGTCGCACTCGGCATCTCAATTTTCCAGGGTCCGATGTAAGAGAGTGGTCCGTGTCAACCGACACCGGGACGGGCAGCAGCACAGCACATCGCAGACAGGAGAAATGGAAGCCATAAATCACCATATGCCTCTTCGGTGCAGGCCCATCGACAGCTGGCGGCCAGTGCACACAGCCGTGCGCACATTTCAGCCACGACATGTTTCGCCGCTGGTGGAAGGTGGGAGGGACATGCCATCGGCACCTGAGCTGTTTGCTGGTAACGGGAAAGTTTGGCAGGTGCCTCACTGACAGCTCGTATCTAGCTACCTACGGCTGTGACTGAAGGTAAGAAAGGCACTTTAGGTGGTGGTCGAATATCTCGCAGCGCAGAAAGTGCTGCATTCCGATTTAGTGCCTCAATCACAATCATGCGTTTCCGAATACCCAGACTCGGAAAGACGTTAAATATGATGTAGCTGTCCCATATCCCCTCCTCCATGAACGTGGTGCATACTAAGTACCTATGGTGAGGGAGCTTAGCTGCATGCTGGATGACCCCTCCTTGGCTGGTCACCCGGGGAACATCTCATCAGGCCAAGATGGAATGAAGCCGGACTTGAAAGTCAAGATGTCTTAACATAGGTAGGAGAGTGCTACCTATGGTGCTAATTGCATTGGCGACAGAGGGCGCAGAAAGTTCCAAGGAACGTGAGGAAGTTGGAAGAGCGATACGTCAGTTAGTACCTTACCTAAGGTACTGCAAATCTGCTTTTCAGCTGCTACGAAGATGCAGCAGCAAACAGCAAGCAGACAGCCCCTCATCAGAAGAAAGGAAAGAGCACCTCCTCCTGGCTACTGCACCCCTGCCTTACGACATCCACCACCAAGAAGTCCAAGGTACGTACCTCCCCTCTGCCAGACCTTGCCCAAGGCGGTCACAGATACAGGCTCTCGTAGGCGCCTGGAAATGCTGTTGCCCATCACCTAACGACTGAGGTGGCCACCGCAGCTGATAATTTAGGTGCGGTAAGGTAGCCCATTTCTGGTCGGGTGGGACAGGACCTGGAGCAGAAGCGAAAGACGAACCTCAGAAACAGCACGTCAAACTTCCCTTCCCATGCCTCGTGCTCCCACTATCTATCTCAAATCAACACCCGACCACGCTTCTCCTCCACCACTGCCACACGAACTTCACCACGACAACTAGCTGTGCCTTTCGCCAACCTGACGTCGGATCGTTGGCATGGTCTGCATGCCCGCAACCTCCTGATAATATCTGCCATACCACTATCCCGGTTGCGTCGTCTCAGATTTTAGAGCCCCCCCAATCCCACAACGACCGCCGCTCGCCCTCAACCAACCCATTGCATCACCCGCACG